CCCCCCCCCCGGAACACTAGTCACGCTCTCGAGTTCAAACAAGCCTTCCTGTGGGGGGCTCCTACCTCCCTTCCTTAGGGCCACGCAGGCTGCCGCCCAGCCCCTCTCGCTGGAACAGAAACCCTTGAGAAAGCGAGAGATGGTGCACGCCGCCTTCAACTCAAGGGGCGTGGAGGCCAGTCGGTGTTCTTGTCTCCTTCTTTAAGGAAAACAATGTTGCATCAATGTGGGCAAAGAGTGCATGAAAGTAACAGCACTTAAGTATGAACGCCAGTGCCGTGAAAAAAACGGTCGCTTTGGAGGACTGAGTGTGTAATAAAATACATATTGGACAGGCCGAGCCTGGTATAGACCAGGCCTGTATGCAGGAATTTCTGGGTGTATGTGTGGTTTTTTGGGAAATGTGGACTGCAAGGGTGTGAATTCACCTCCTATGGTCCTCCAAATAAGCAGGGAAATCAGCCCCGGCCTGTCCCTGGCCAGCCAGAGAAAGGGGGAGGGAGGCTCAGGCAGCGTGCCACTCCTGCCTTCCCATGACTGGCAGGAGCATGTTTAGTTGGGGGACCATAGGGAAGTGCTTTCTCACCCTTTGCACCCTCCCTTGCCTATGGACCTGTTGTATAACACATTTTCCCCCCAAAAAACACAACCACAGACTAAAAAACAAAATAGATTCAGTAGGCACAGTGTGGATGAAGGTTCCCTCTCAACATTTTGGTGCAATCCAGATTAATGATCTCAGTGTGCCTTTGGCAGAGAGAGTGTAGTGTGTGTGAGAGGCACATTGAGACTAGAAATGTACAAACTTTTAAAACTTACATTGTTTAGCTATTTTGGTATTAGTTTAGATTGTTGGGGAGAGAATTAGAGGATAGAATAAAAAGAATAGTCAAGAATGCTCTTGTGGTTAAAGTACTAGACGTGTTTAGTTCCTGGCAAATTTCCATATTACTTAAGCTCTAAACATCATCTGTAAATAGGGTTAATAAAGTTTCCTTTCTCTGACACTTTACCAGCCTTAAGATTATTACACTGTGTTTATTTGTTCTGAAAGAGCTCTTTTGGAAAAAGGCTTCCTCGTAGAAAGAGGCTTACCACTGTCAGAAACCCCCCTGCGTTCTTTTGACTTTCTGTCAAAAGAATGCAATTGCAGTGTGAATGTAGTTTTTCTAGAAAAAATGGCTGTTTTTCTGGAAAAATTCTGCAGTGTTAACATACTTTCAGGCTACATCTTCACTGCCCGTTCTTCCTGCAGAAAATATGCTAATGATGGACTCATTAACATAAGTCACAATCTCATTAGCATATATCTGCTTTCTTTTTGTGCAAGAGATTTTTGTGCAAAAAGAAGCAGTGTGGACTTTTCTGTTTGCACAAAACCCCCGTTTTGTGCAAGATCCTTATGCCTGTCCCAGTGAAGATGAAGGAAGCCTCAGGCTATGTCTACACTGCAGAAGACGTCTTTGCGCAAAAGCACATCTACACCTTTTGCAATGCGCTTTTGCACAAGAGAGCGTCCATACTGCATGAAGCAAAATGCAGGACTATGTAGCACTTTAAAAACTAACAAGATGGTTTATTAGATGATGAGCTTTCGTGGGCCAGACCCACTTCCTCAGATCAAATAGTGGAAGAAAATAGTCACAACCATATATACCAAAGGATACAATTTAAAAAAATGAACACATATGAAAAGAACAAATCACATTTCAGAACAGAAGGGGGATGCGGGGGGGGGGGAAGGAAGGTAAGTGTCTGTGAGTTAATGATATTAGAGGTGGGGAAAGGTAGATGTCTGTGAGCTAATGGTATTAGAGGTGATAATTGGGGAAGCTATCTTTGTAATGGGTAAGGTAGTTGGGGTCTTGGTTCAGCCCCCCCCCCTCCCCGGAGAGTGTCGAATTTTAGCATGAATGACAGTTTAGAGGATTCCCTTTCAAGTGCAGATGTAAAAGGTCTTTGTAGCAGAATGCAGGTAGTTAAGCTTTTCTGGTTGAAATGGCAAGAAATTGTTTTGTCTTTGTGATCCTGTCTGATATCTGTTTTGTGCGCATTAATCCTTTGGCGAAGTGTCTGAGATGTTTGTCCAATGTACATAGCAGATGGACACTTTCGGCACATGATAGCATAAATTATATTTCTGGATGCGCAGGAAGCTCTTGCGCAAGAAAGCTCTGACTGCCATTTACAGAATGGCCATCACAGCATTTGTGCTTTTTCAGATTTGCACAAGAAACCCCTGTGCAGCGTCCACACATCCTTTTTGCGCAACAATTGTAGCACAAAGGAGTTATGCCTCATAGAAGGAAGTTTACCTGCACCGCAAAAAGCCCTCTGTTCTGACGTTTTACTGTCGATTTACTTGAGCAAAAGCACACTTAAGGTGGGCGCACCACAGGTTTTTGCCAAAAACAGACGTTTTTGAGCAAAAACCTTGTAGTGTAGATGTAGCCTCAGCGTCCCACCACAGAGAAACAAATAAGGTAGATACCTGTGGAAACCTTTGGGAGAGGATTGCTGAGTAGCTCCATGGAAGTTTCATGAAAATCTTTCAGAATGATTGAAGGGACATATCTGTGCCAATAAACAAACTGTTCTGCAAGGCCCCTGGCCTACCTCTAGAGGTGAATAAAAAGCAAATAATTTTTTTTCTTTGCGGGGGGGAGGGGGGGCGTTATAAATTGAAAGCCGGTTGCATGATTGTTCACCTCATGATTTTTTAATACTTGGGGTCGTAGGTACTGCTGTTATGGATGTAGACTGGCATGAACCCGATTTGCATTAGGGGTGTGTGTGTGTGCTGGTGATGAGGGACTCGAGGGCGGGGCGGGCAGAGTCGGTAATTTTTTTTCTTTGCGGGGGGGAGGGGGGGCGTTATAAATTGAAAGCCGGTTGCATGATTGTTCACCTCATGATTTTTTAATACTTGGGGTCGTAGGTACTGCTGTTATGGATGTAGACTGGCATGAACCCGATTTGCATTAGGGGTGTGTGTGTGTGCTGGTGATGAGGGACTCGAGGGCGGGGCGGGCAGAGTCGGTTGCTCTCCCTCCGCCTCCCCCGCCTCGGATCGCCGCTGGGGGGGGGGGAAGGATTTCCCTACGCGCGGGGG